TAGTACATGTTTTGTTTTAACAGCGGTCTATAACTGCCCTGACACAGACAGGATGTGGAATATGGGTGTTATAAAATATATGCAGCATTTTGCTGCAAACACTGAAGGACCTTGGTTTCCTTAAGAAATACAATCTGCTCCGTCCCTTCTTGTAGTCGGCTTTACAATTGTTTTGCTAGTTTAGCCTGTTGTCTGTGTGAAAACCAAGGTATTTATACTCCTTCACCACCACTTTATCTCCAATAGTGGTAATAGTGATTGACATGTCACTGTTTCTGTTAAAATCTAAGATCGTTTGGGCAGCAACTAATGATTATTGAGATAATCTATTACTCTATTGATTATTTTTCCGATTACCATAATAATCGGGTAGCAAAAGATTCTTTGCTAATATTTTATAGAATTAAACAAGTTAAAAGTAAAAAATCCACCTGTGGAGATCTGGATTAAGCATATTGAAAGATAATTTTTTTTTAATCTTAAATGCAACATTTCATTTTGTTTTTTATTTTTTTTAACAATTCCTGTATAATTACTGGTCTAAGTGGGTCGCTCTGTCAGTGAAAGGCATATTTTAGAGTCAGTATTCTCCAGTGTTTTCCAACAATTAATCAATTATTTAATTAGTTGACCTTTATTTCAATAATGAATTAATCATGTTTTCAGCTCTAAAAACTATTTACCTTGTTTTATTCACATTCAGGATGAGATGGTTGTTTTCACACCATTCCACAAAGCAGTCCACGTGTCTGTGTACACAACTTCTTGATAATCTCTGATACACCAGACATCCTTCATAAAGCACATCATAATTAACACTCTAAAATAGGCTTGTCATCATGACAGAGGTGCAATGTGTTGCTCCCTTAATATACAGTATTTTATCTGGCTCCTCTATGGTGAACACATATCGGTTAAATTAATATCGAATGTCTTCTGCAGTGTCATGCATTTGAAAAGTCTCTGTAGTTAAAATGCTCTTTGTAATTTCATAGCTGTTGTTTTCATCGGGTAGAACAGAAAATGATGAATTGCAGTAAATTTGTTCATCTAATTTATCAACAGATTTTAGCTTTGCTTTAATTTTACTTCTTACCCACCACCACCTTCTTTGCTGAATCTGAAAGGCATCACCCTTTACTTCAGAGAATCCATGTCTTCATTTACATCTTGGAAAATAATGAGTAAGATTTTCTCTGGGGGGCTAACTTTGCAATTATGGCAATTCTGAGGACTGAGATATGGGCTTGATTGCAGCAGAAGAAATTTTAATCTGATTATCTTTAAGGTACAGAAAAAAAAAACATATTGAACCACATTGTCTTTCTGTGATGCAGTTGTGGAGCAACATTTTTGAAATTGATACAAAGAGTGAATTAACTTCTTACGGGTCTCTATAGGAAATATCGTTTTCTTTTTAAATGCCCTCTTAATAATTCTGCTCTTTTTCCTCTTCTTTTTAAACTCTTTGTTGGTAATGAAAATTACTTGCTTTAAGTATTCTATTAAAAAATGTCACCTTCCACACTAAAGAGTGTTGTGTTTTGCACACCTAATCAACTCCCAGTTATGGTATTTAATGATCTGATTAGGTTAAAATGTTCAAAATGGTCACATGGGATAGACTGAAATTAGTCAAATGTGATCACCTGCCAATATTCCTGTTTTTACCCAATTAGGATGGACATAATCATCCCTCAGAATTTACAACAGATTTCAAAGGGTTTGGAAAATAATAAAAATCTTTTGTTAAAAAATATATTTGAGTAGTTGCAACAAAATATTCAAGTAAATTGGTTAGGTATCTTTAAAGAATCGTACATGTTACTTTTTTTTCCTAAAAATAAAATAGTAAAAACCAAAGAAACTGGATAAGATTTAGATGTTGGATCAGCAAGATTATCCAGTACGAATATGTTTTCTTAATAGACACAGTAATTAATTTAACTGTTTAGCAGATGATAATAGACCTCTGCTAGGGTAGGAAGGTGTTTCTTTAAGCAAGACATTTTTGGATATGTAATGACATTTTCTGGCATAAGAAAAAAAAAAGATTGGATTTCTTACTAATTAGATTTGCTGGTAACACAAAAATGAATCCTACAATATTTCATAATAGCCCAGTGCAACAACAGAACAGCTTTAGTTTAATCAAGAGAACAGAGACAAAAACAGGGGGAAAAAATATCCTATTAGAAAATTTTGTAAAGCTCGATTTATCCCTGAATGTTCAATCAATGCAGAGAGTACACAGTGACCCAAGGTTTTATTTGTATTATTACTTTTATGTTGTATATTTCTACCTGCAATTAGACCACCAAATGGTTACTTTACAAGCAGCATTTCACAGTATTGAATCTCTAAGAACGCGATTCAAAAACAGATATGAGTTGATAAAAGTCAAGGTCTGTGTATGTGGAATATAAATGTTCCACATTTTACTCAAGATAATGTGAAAAAAATGAAAGACAGTTATTAATCAACATAGGATTCAATCAAAATATGTGATAAAACAGCAGAATGCACATATTTATGTGAATTCTACTGAATTTTGTAAATATCTTTTTTTTTCTCTGACAAACATTGCCATTGAAAAAAGTAATCATCCAAGCACAACATATAGGGTGCAATCAATTGTAGAGCTCTGCAGCCTCTGAGTTTTATTTTATATACACACAGCATCAGGGCCATGCCATATTGATTTCAAACGGTTTTTGGTTTTTCAGGATGGAATGTGTAAAAATTCCCTCAAATACACACACACATATATTTTATAATTTTTTTACAAACACACACATATATATATATGTATGTATGTATATATATATATATATATATATATATATATATATA